AAGCCACGTGCACCAGGAACCCCTCCCATACACCCCCCCTGGAATCCCAGTGTCCAGGTGGCCCCAGAGGGACCCCCATGCACCCAAGGGACCCCCACGCAGCGACCACGGCGTCCCGGCGCACTTGTCGGGCTTGAGGTCGCGGTGCACGATGCCGTAGTTGTGCAGGTACTCGAGGGCCAGGACGGTCTCGGCGAAGTAGAGCCGGGCCAGCTCCACGGGCAGCGCCCCGATGTGCTTGAGCAGCGTCGCGCAGTCGCCGCCTGCGCGGCACAGGGACCGTCGCGACAAGGACCCCCCGCTCCCGCACCGCGTCACGGCAGGATGAGCCGCTCATCGCGACACCAACATAAGGGCTTCCCGTCGTGACATAGAGCCCTCCTGTCACGCTACAAGTGCTTCCGGTTGCTATATAAAAGCCCTCCTGTCACGATATAAGGCCCTTCTGTTGTGACACAAAGCCCTACCATGACAATATATCACACGCCCTTCCATGATAGGAATCCCGTCTGTCACGATACAAAGCGCCCCCCCCCGCCGTCATGATGTCCCCCGTTGCCACATGAAGCCCCTGTCACGACATAACGCCCCCCCGCTCGTGACATGAAGCCCCCCCCATCGCAATAGGAAGCCCCCTGTAGTGACATGAAGCCCTTCTGTTGTGACACAAAGGCTCCTGTCATGACATGAAGCCCTCCTATCACAACAGGAAGCCCCCCCCCCCATCACAATGTGAAGCCCCTTGTCACAACATGATGCCCTCCTATCGCAATAGGATGTCCCCCTTGCACAACGGGGAGCGCCCGTCCCACCTTCGACGTACTCCATGACCATGCAGAGGTAGCGGCGGGTCTCGAAGGAGCAGAACATGCTGACGACGAAGGGGTTCTCGGCGAACGTGAGGATGTCGCGCTCCACGAACGCCTGCTGCACCTGGTTGCGCAGCAGCAGGTTCTGCTTGTTGATCTTCTTCATGGCGAAGCGCTGGCGCGTCTCGCGGTGCCGCACCAGGTACACGGCCCTGCGGGCCCAGGCGTCCGGGTCACCCCCAGTGCCCCCCGCACCGCCCTGCGGGCCCAGGCGTCCGGGCCGCTCACCCGTAGGCCCCGTTGCTGATGAGTTTGATGGTCTCGAAGTCACTTTCGCCTGGCGGCTTCTTGGCCCTGGGGACAGCGCCGCGGCCCTGGCCGGGGTGGGGGGCACAGATGTCACATGATGTCACGTGATATCACACGACGTCACGTGACGTCACGCACCCACCTCAGCCCCCTCCTCGGTGTCGGGCGTGTTGGATCCGCCGCTGTCGGGCTCCTCGAGCCGCACCACGACTTGGGAGGAGGGGACAGGGGTGTCACGCGTGATGCACCAGCCCCACACGCGTGTGCACCTCATGCAAACCACCCCACACACGCGTGTGCACCCCACGTAACCTCACCCACATGTGTGGGCCCCATGCAACCCCCCCACCATGCGTGTGCACCCCACACGTGTGCGCACTCCGTGCAACACTCCCCCACGCAACCTCTTCAACCCACGTGCACCGCATGCAACCCCCACGCCCTAATTGCAGGCCGTGCACGACACCATGCGCCTCCCCTCACGCTGCACCCTCCGCCACGCGCGTTCGCCTCGTGGTACCGGGGAAGGGGTCGCGCGCCAGCCCCAGCTGCGCGATGATGTAGCGGGGGATGTCGCTCTTGAGCAGCCCCGCGCGCGCTCGGCCCGCGGCCGCCGCCAGCAGCTGGTAGAACTCGGCTGGGTCGAACTCCTGCACGCGGCACGACACGGGGATGTGTGTGCACGGCCTCGCGTGTGCTTTTACGGGTGTATGTGCATCATTGTGTGTGAATGGTGATGTCTGCACATGTATGGGCATGACCGTATCTGCACACGCATGTGCATCATCGTGTGTGCGCTGGCACGTGTACATGGTTATTTGTGCACATGTATGTGCATGGTCTGGTGTGCACACGCATCATCACGGATGCACACGCGTCATCACGGATGCACACGCGTGTGCACGATCACATGTGCACACTCGTCCCCTCCCGCCTTTGTCCCTGGTCCCCACCATGAGGTCACCCTGACAACATGGCTGTCACCGTGGCAACAGCATCTCCAGCACCATCCCTGGCTCCCCATTGGCTGAGGCCAGGGATTGGCCAGGCTGTTGTCAGGGTGA